GCCTTGTTACAGAATATCCTTCTATTCCTCTCAGTCCAGATGGACCATAACACAGCATTAGGGATAGTCTTCCAAACAATCTTCTTTTTCTTGATCAACCCCATGAGCTTCCAGCAACACAACAGCTCCTTCACCGAACTTGGCATGACCCAACTTAAGTTCATAGAGCTGAAGAAATGATTCCACAGCTGAGAAGAAAACGGGTAGTGAATACACAAATGATCAGTGGATTCAGCACTACTCCCACACATGCAACATGACAGGTCCGAAAGCTGAATGTCTCACAAGGTTAGCTCTAGTAAGACATTTATTTAGAGCCATAGTCCAAACTAGGAAGTTAGATTTAGTTGGGCTGGTGGGATTCCACACCTGATGACAAGGGAAACCAGAAACACCCCTTCTAAGAGAGGACCTCTCGAAGACAGAAGTGGACCTGGAACCCCCCAACCAATTGGCCCCTATTTATTTTTTTGATTGGAAATGGTAACTTCATTAAAATAACTTTAAAAATAACTTTCCAGATTTAAGTACAGCTGTCAACCCCCAAGTAGGTGTTGAGCCCCCACTAACCTTTCTTACAAAACTGCCCAGAACATACTCTCCCTCACAGTCCGTTGTTTAGCCAATGTGTCAGCTAAACCATTAGCTGATCTCCTTGTCACTTTGAAGCATGCACCAATCTCCCTTGTTATATTGTGGGTTTCCCTTATGGGCTGTCTATAAATCCAGGCTCCCAACTTACCAAATTGCAGCCACTCAATCAACAATTTAGAGTCTCCCTCAATCTCAATTTTGTGTAACACCAACTGTTTTGCATATCTTACACCTTGAAGCAAGGCCATCACCTCCGCTCTCAACGAGTCCCCCACTCCTATTGGTCCTAAAAACAAAGCCACAATTCTGCCATTTTCAACTCTGAATACTCCTCCTATACTTGAAGRAGTGAAGGGCCCGGGTTACCTCTTGAACTCGCATCAAAGTTCAATTTCACTCTTTGTTGTGTTGGTGGGGACCACAGTTCCTGCAAAATAGGTTTCATGGAAGTTGTAGAAGCCACCACTTCCCAATTCCTGTAAATGTCTTCAGCTGAGAAATCTTTAAACAAATCTAAAGTTTTCAATCAATGAATAGTCATAATAATTATCCTTTCTACAGTTGCCTCCTTGGATTTTCTCCACGCCTTTAAAGATTCTATTATTCCTTTCTTCCCAAACTGACCATAAGATAGCTGCTCTTGTGGCTCTCCACATTAATCTTCCACACCTCTTCGGTTGCCTGAAAAGGCTTGGGTCAAAAAGGCTTACCACATCTGGGGAAGGTGTCCACCTACAACTAAGGATAGAAGAGAACCAAGTCCAAATAAAGCAAACAAATGGACAAGAAATCAAATAGGTGTGTGATCGTCTCACCAGATCCCAAGCATAGGCTACAAACATGGGGTGATAGGCAAACATTTGGCCTTTTTCTTTGCAACATATCTAGAGTATTGATTTTTTGGATAACCACCTCCCAACAAAAAGCCCTAATTTTTGGGGGTACAGGCTGACACCAAATCTCCTTTGAAGGAAAGCTCCTTACAGGGTTTGATGATTGAATGAGGATATCAAAAAAGGAGGAACAAGTGAACACACCAAATGGGGAAGGTTTCCAAATTCTACTGTCCAAACAAGATTGGTCCAGGTAAGTTGACCCTAGAAGGTTAATTAATTCATCCACCATTGTCATTTCCGACTCCCTTAGACCTCTCCTCAAACCCAAGTCCCAAGAGTTATCAGTAAAAACTGAAGAGGTCACTTTTCTTTTATTTTCAGAAAGTGAATAAATAGAAGGAAACCTTTCATTAAGGGGAATGTTTCCAACCCAAGCATCTTCCCAAAACAACACTTTATTTCCTGCACAAGCATCAAATTTGACGTAAGGAAGGAATGAAGGTAAAATACCATAAATAGTTTTCCAGGGAGAGAATCGGGAAGCCCTAGGGTCGACTCCTGCATCTCAACCATTGTCTGCCAATCCATGAATGCTAATAATCACTCTATGCCAAAGTCTGTCATGTTCCAATGGCAATCTCCATAACCATTTCCCCAATAATGCTGTGTTTCTTAGCCTAACATTTCCTATTAATAGGTCTCTTTCATCTCTACTTCTAGAAACCACCTCCCACTTCACTAGGTGGTCTCTTTTGGTGTCTCCTGGTTCCCAAAGGAAGTTCCTCATAATCTTCTCTAGCTGGTTTTCCACTTTCACCGGTACTTATATAATTTTTATAGTAAATTTGTACAAATTTTCTAATATTTCTGATATTTCTTATTTTTAGTTGTAAATAATTCTATTGAAACCAACATTTACCTTTAAACTAGCTGGTTTCTCTCTCATACTCGCAATCTAATTCCTCCCCAGACCCCATATTGGCAGGAGTCTTGTGCACTTACTAAAATTGGCAGGAGTCTTGTGCACTTACTAAGTATGGTTTCTCTCTCATACTCGCAACCTATTTGTGTTTAGACCTTAATTAAAATAAAAATTTCCTGTCAATATTACTATCTAAACTCCTAGTCTAACTCCAAAATAAATCTAATAATAGTTGATTAATTCTACTAAAACTAATTTAATGTAAAGAAACCAGAAATTACTAAAACTAATGTCATAATTTACTATAAATAGTAGTTATAAAAAATTATTATAAATAGTAATTCCTAAAGTTACTATAAATAATATTTTGTTTTTTTATAAGAATAGTGAATTCTAGAAGATTGAATTTCAACTATGTTCCTAAGACACCAAAAAACTAGAAAATATTTTTGAGAACTGCATTTTCTTTGTGATGACGTGGTTGACCAAGATGGGCAAGAAAAGAAATAAGCACTTAATGAATAAACACTTAAAAATAAGCTCAAATTTTGAGCTTCTTGAATAAGTGCTTATTTCCAGGAAGAAGCACAGGCTCATGCTTATTTCCCAAACACAAATAAGTGCTTATTGGGGTCATCCCGGTCCAAAATAAGTTCTTATTTGAATAAGCACCCCCAAACTTAGCCTTAAGACTTCTCTTTTACCACTGATTAGAAATCTCATTAATGGGTTAAAAACAAAGCACCAAACAGCATTAAGGGATGTGGAATCACAAAAGGTCCATAAAATACAAAGTGTTTAAAAGATCAATTATAAGGAAAAGATTCTTATCCCCCCAAGAAGGATTACCAATTGATAGTCCYGTGTAAGAACTTAAGTGGTCCATGGCACAATTGGAAGGAGCAGTATGTATGATTTAATTGTCACAATTCCATTAACTTTTTTTAATCAGTAATTCCATGAACTTTTTGTGAGTTCCTTAAAAAATCAACTCTAAATACGGTGCACTGGCACATGCTATCTTGTATTCCATTTTTTTCTAATATTAATAAAAATGCTTATAAATTGTTGATAAAAAAACACCTTCGAAAATGATTTGCACAAAGAAGCAAATTTTGATCCATCACTTGGAGATATTAGTGCAATACTGCACCCATCGGCAGAAGCTCTAGCAGTTCTTCCACTTCTATGAACATAAACCTAAAAGGTCAAATAGAGCTTAATTAGATAAATTGAGAAACGATAAATGTAACATAACAAGCAAAATSCCCCCTTTTTTATAAATGAACACGCAAAATCCCCTTAAACCACTTACTTCTGCTGAATGTGGAAGTTGATAGTGAACAACAGTTCGAACACCAGGAAGATCAAGACCTCTTGCTGCAATATCAGTAGCAACAAGTGTACCATGTTCATTTCCAGAGAAGCGATCAATTGCCTGGATAAGCATGAGGAAAAGCAAACATAAAACTCAAGTACTCAAACGAAGCCAACAATGAAGCAGATTGAGACATGGACCATGGACTATAAAATGATTGTCTGATAGCCAATTACATGTTAAAGATGCTTCCTTTTCCATTTTCTTTCTGTTTTTGTTTTACTTTTTTGATAAGCAATGATAAAATTTCACTGTATGGTTATACCAAAATAAAAATAATAATGATGATGATGATGAAAGCCCCTTGCATATCTAAATTTGGGTCACAACTCATGACCCGCGTACTGTATAGAGTTCCAAGAGATCCATGCACTATGCRGGTTATTATACAGAATTATTATTTTTTTTAATTTCTTTTCCTTTTTTGGGTAACTGATCAGAATTTAACAAGTACAACATAAAGTCATGATAAAAGGGGATGGGTCATAGCCCTACCCTCCAAATATAAAAAGGGTTATCCCTTTTCTACTCTCCCCATGCATACAGACAATTCAAAATATAGAAAAAAATTACAATATGGAGCCAGCTACCCCAGAAGTATTCATCATCATCATCATCATCCAGGCCTTGTTCCAACTATATGGAGCCAGCTACATGAAGCCTGTTTTGCCATTGCCATATCCATTGTTAAATTATGAGACCTTAAATCATTTCTTACTACCATCCTGTTTTGCCATTTGCTACACCTATTGTTAAATACTACCAGCCCTTAAACCATATCTTACTACCTTAACCAATGTCCTTTTTTGTCTTCCCCAAGCTCTTCTAGTACCTTCAACTTGTAACAGATCACTTCTTACRGATGCTATAGATGGCCTTCTTTGCACATGATCATATCATCTTGGTCTACTTTCCATCATCTAATCACTTATTTGAGCTACTCCTAGGTTCCTTCAAATGAATTAATTTCCTTTTTTATTGATCAAATGAGTCCATTTCTGACCCTGTCCTTTCTATTTTTTCACTCATTCATCTCAACATAAGATATTTGAGGATCCATGTCCATAGGAGTTTGAAAAAAAAGTTCTAATGCTGGCTGCCAACCTGACACAACATTCCTCCTTTATTTAGGCTTGGGATTTGCAGTGTAAGACAAGCTCACACTGGTGGGTATTATGTGCCCCAGTAAATTAAGTCTTTAGTCACTCCTTAGCTAGGGTGTGAGTGAAACTATTTGCTGATCTAGGAACTCTCTTGATCAGCAACAAGAGATTCATTCATTAATTAGAAAACACAAAAGATACAACAAGAAGTTGTGATTACAATCAAATAGAAATCAAATAGCCTCTGCTATCTCACCCATCCCTTGCATAGCCGAAAAAAATTGTTGTCTATAAAGTATTAACTCCCAACTTTGCCAAACCATCAACCAGGCTGTTGGTTGATTTATGTACCCAATGAACCTCAATCTGCATATCCTTTGAAAACCATTTAAAATGCCTAGTTTCATTTCTGAAACACCAAGAAGCTGTCTTCAGAATTGAGGCCAAAGCTCTAGCCCCTGTCTTCAGAAACAGGGGCTCTGCCCCCTTCTTCTTTTTCTTCTTATTAAGCAGGGATGCACCCCAACTTTCTATTTTTTTCCTGTATTTTTGCATTATTTTTTATTAATATTGATTTTGGAACAAAAAAAGGGGCTTCATACCCTTAAGAAATATTTTTTTGGGGAACAAAGCAGAGCCCCCTTACTTTTCTCTTTTTTTCGCTGCATTTCCTTTTTTTGGCCCAATACAGGTTATTAAACATTGAAATTAATATATTTAAATGATGTATTTATGATGTTATTTTATGTTTTTATATGAAATTTATAGTTAGTTACTTATTTGAATGGTTTTATTGCTAATAAGTAGTATACAGGTATGTTGGTAAGTATAAAAAACTAATAAAATAGCTTAGGAGTAGGGATCTTTAGATTTTATGCTTTCAGATTCCATTGCCTAGGCGTCTGGGTGCCCTGTGGTTGCCTAGGCATCTTGACAACTATGTCCTCAACCCCCTTTCTATTTTCAACTTCGTCACCTTCTCCCATCTAAGCAAATGAACTTTCTTCCCTTCCCCAAGTTCCCACAAAAAATCTCTCATAATTTTTTCCAACTTACTCACAACTTAGGGCATGCTAAAAACCAACATAAAGTAGACAAGAAGATTAGCTAATGTAGATTTGATCAAAGTTATTCTCCCACCTAGACAAATGTAATTTCTCTTCCACCCAGCTAATCTCTTCTCAAACCTTTCCACCACTGGAGTCCAAAAACTTAGAGAATTAAGATTGTCACCAAGGGGTAATCCTAGATACTTGATCAGCCGGTTTCCTTTCTCACAACCCAAATAACCTGCCATATCCCCAACACATCTTCTTGCACATTAATGCCGACCSATAAGCTTTTATTCCAGTTAATCTTCAAATTGGAGACCCATCGCAAAAGACTATGATATCATTTCCAAATTATAGGCGACTTACCTGAATTCTATCCCTCCCAACTGACCAACCATTAATCACTGAACCATTGACAAGAATTGACTAGATCACACGCAACCTCTAATCCATTTATACCCCAACTCCCCAAAGCCACAACTTCTCATGATATTAGTTAAAAACTCTTAAACCACAAGATCATAGGCTTTCTCCACATCCAATTTAACCACAACTGCTTTCTTTCTTAATCTTTGTTGGGCCTCAAAAAACTCGTTAGCAATTAAAATAGAGATATTCTATCTTCTATGAAATGTAAACTTGTTCTAGACTCCTAGGGAGCTAATGAAAGGGATGAGAGATCCATCATAAGGATGCCCGAACCCTGTAGGAAAGTTGGGCGAAATTTCAAAAATTTTCTCTCTCTTCCATCTGGGAATCACATTCCCTATTTTAGAAAATTGTATTTTCAAGGGTCGTTCTTGAATCCAAAACCGAACCAGATCTGAAACCAAAAGAAAGATACACCTGATACAAAGTAGCAGTAACTCCCGATGAAGGTGTCCATGCCCAAGGAGAATATCAAAACCCGCTTCCACCGAAGATGGCACAGTGTGTAATGAAGCAGGATCAGCAAGATGGCTCTTCAATAAGAACCAAGATCCTTCAGCAAGAATCGAACAAGGGCTGGTGAGCACGATTTCAGATTGTTTCTTCAGCCAAGAAACAATATCAAGAACTTTTCTTGATCAATTCCTTAAGAGGAGATCGAACTGGGTAGGGATGGCAAGAATAGGAGAGAATTCTGCAGGTTGCTGTGTTGTGTAACTGAGGAATTCGCCCCCTTATTTATAGCCTTCTCAAGATCAGCCTCCTAATCTAATTAGGAGAGCGTTCCTTAATCCAAATCTGATATTTGATCTGGACTCTTGAATGGATAAGACTTATCTAATCCTGTCTTATCCTTTAGCTAATCCTAATCAAATTATAAATCCTATCTTGCCTCCTTTTAATTAACTAACTTAAGTCCAGTTCGAATTGGGCTTTAGGCCCATTAAGCTTATGTGCTCACTTACCCCTTAACATGCTGCCCAATTGGCTATCTTTGTATGGCGTGGGACCCAAACATTGATCTAAACATCAACCACATGGGTTCAGCCCGGTCTGAGTCCATCACTATGGGCTCTTAATGGGCCCAACATTTACACTAAATGGTCCTTGGGTCCAGTCACCTTATGAAAACCCAAGGACTGTGGCAGATGCAAGATTAGCCCATCAGGTA